TAGTCAGTGTAAAGTAGCGTGCAAATTATTTGGTGGGGGGCGGTGAGGACCTGGATAAAGGCCAGGGGGGCGCTGGCCCAAAAAAGGTTGAGAAACACTGGGTTAGGGGTTAGATTTAGGACTAAGGTGTGAATTGAGTTTTGGAGAGAGGGTTAGGTATGTAATGGGTAGGGTTAGCGTTAGTTTAAGGGTAAGGTTTAGGCTGTAGAAATGAATGGATGTCAATGGAAAGTCCCCAAAAAGGAAGCCACATAAACATGTGTCTGTGTACAGCATGACCAATGTGCAATTTGTTATTATTTGCTGTCCTGCAGCTTTGAGTAGTGGCTAATTATCTGCTTAGATCCGTATCTTTTGTGCCTCAGGAGTGTAACAATCGGCAAAACCCATCGATTTGCTTCGCTTACTGAAACAATGGACGATGAATTAATCTGTGATGGAATAGATTCCCAACCTGTCTGGTACAGGTAAGCTCTAAAACAGGATTTCTATTATTTATTTCAGTTACTCAAAGCCAGATTCGTCCTCGGAAATGTTCTGCCAGGTCTCAGTGTTTCTTAAGAGTTAAGCTTGAGAACAAGAACTGAGTTGAAACTGGGTCTATGTCATCATCACTTTCCTTATTAGTAAGAAAACAGGGTAAGAAAAATCACTTTTAAAAGTGGTGGGACAAAGCATTTAACCCTGTGGTGTCTGCTGTGATTGTCTGCTGTCCTTGAAAGCCTTCCATCTAAAAGAATAAAAGTGATTTCTAAAAATTTCTACAGCACAAACAGTGGAAAAAAAGTTTTATTTGGACTGTTTGATCCAGGCCTCTGCCTGAAAATCAAGGGCCCATGTCCACATTGTAAATATTCATGGTTTCAACATTAAAGTGTCCAACGAAGTAAAACTCTTTTGGATGTATGACAACATTATCTTTACAACACAAATTCAGTTTAACCACCGTTTTATAATAAACTTTTCCCCCTGGCCATTAACCATGTTTAACAATGCTTTCACAGCATGAGCAGCAAACCCCGCCCCTTTGTATCAAAGCCTGAGCTTGTTAAGAGTTTTAAACATAAAGATATCATCAGTGAAATCAAGGAAGCTAGAAATGTGCTGGAACTCAACTGGAGCCACAATAGTTTGGTGGCATGAGAGCAGTGATGTGATTAGTTTCATTGTGTTTATCATATCTTCACACTTCATAAAAATTTTTCCCCTTAAAACTTGCTATGCTCAGAGTGCTAGGGCATTTCATCAGTGGCTCACAAAAGTCAATAATTATTGTATTAAGTTTTATTAACTTTTCCTGAATCCTAACATTTTGCTTCGTAATATCTGTGTTTGGTGCAGTATTATGAGTTGCTGGTTGTGATTGGTTGTTATTTTTCCAAGCGAATGCAGTATACTTTGATTGGATGAAGAAAGACTTGCCTATGATTGGCTGGTGATGTGACTCATTTAGTTGCAAATACCGACATAAAGCCTAGAACGTGTCAGAACATGCACTGAGTGTGTGTGAGAGAGATTTAAACACACAACCCATGGTATTATTTTTTCACAAAGATTTATATGCTCACATCAGCCTCACTGTGCGCTCAGGTTGGTGGGACACACATAGCACCCTACACAGTAGGTTGCTCTTACAACTTCACCATCATGTGCGTGTGTGCACGTATGTGTGTGTGTGTTTGTTTGTAATACCTTGTGGGGACCATTTTCCTGACACATACTACATTGTGGGAACCCACTGATCCTTGTGGGGATCGAAGCCTGGTCCCCACAAAGATAGCCACACAAACATGAGTGTGTGCGTGTGTGTGCGTGTGTGTGTGTGTGTGCAACCAGAATCTTTAATTTTAATTTGCTGTCTTTTAATAAAGGCCCAGTCAATTACTGGGTTTGCAAATTAGCTTGTGGCTAAAAAATCTAAGTAGAAAATAACAGCTTCTCTGTTTTTAACATGAAATATTGTTTAAATGTGTAGTCCTTGACTAAACAAATTTGAATAAATTTGAATAGAAATTCAAATTTATTGAACAGTTAACATCCATGCTAGCTCAGTTACCAACGTTGCGTAAGCAGGTGACAGACATCTGTCACCTGCTTACATTCCTGAACAGACCACAAGTTCAACATTGTGCTTTCAAATGTGTAACCACAGATATTCTTTAGCCAATCTTTGCTATTACGGTTACTGGTGTATAAAAAAAAACTTACAATGAATAAACAAAATGCTTAGCCTGGCAGGTTGAAAGCAAAGCCTGTCGGGCTAATAATACACTGGAGGAATTCCTGTTTATTGAAAGGAGGAGAATGTCTGATCAGTGTAATATCAGGTTTGTCAGCTAAATCTAAATAAATTAATAAGCAACAATATTAGGCTTACAGTAGGCAGCACCTACAAATGCACTTATAAACATAATACCCTGTTCAGTTGGCCTTGTGACTCAGTGGTGTAAGAAGATGTGTTATGTCCTATAATTTATGTTAAATTTATGTTCTTGTTTTATGATATTCAAGGCATTCTGCTGCATCATGACATGTCAGATCTTTCAAGTAATTTCTCTCTTCAAATTGGAACATTTTAACCACTAGTAAATGATCACAACTGACAAGCCAATGTTTAAGCTCATCCAATTATATTTTATTTTTTTATATTTATTTGACCTGTCACTGTATATGTTAGAAAATAAACAGTTTTACAATAAAGCCACTCTGTGCTAGTGCATACAACCTCTCCACATGAAAAATATTATAAAAAATGCTAATGCTAAGAAAAAGGCAATAAGTGGACAGGTGCTCTAAGAAAGCTAAATTCAGATTCTTTAAAAGCCAGGAAAGGGAGCAGGGAGATAACTCCTGAGAGATGGAGGAAAGACAAAAAACATAATTCAGAGACACAACTAAGAGTCAAAGAGTCACCATAAGAACCAAGCCTTATTCCTCAGGGAAAACACTTCAAAAATGTGTGTGTGTGTGGGGGGGGGTTGTTGAGGCTGGTTATAATTCCGAATGTCAAACTGGGGTGAGAGTCACAATAGTTTGGTGGCATGAGAGCAGTGATGTGATTAATCTGGTTCATAGTGTTTCTGATGAAATCTTATCTTCATACTTCAAAAAAAAAATTTCCCCAGTGCAACCAGTAGCATGTAGCGGCAGTCCAACAGCAAGAGCAGAACCAGCATCTTACACCGCCAGGTCGAAGATTTTAATCATTTTAGCTTTTAATTATTTTTAGCTTTCTGACCATGATGCTAATCCGGGTAAGTGTTGGTAGTTGTGTGCTGCTTTACCTGCTATCTGGCCGCTCCGGATGTCCTTTTTTTCCTGCAGTGAGCCTCGATGTAGCCAAACTCCCTCAAGTACTTGTTTTTTAAATGTCATATTAGATTCATTGTGTTGATGCATTTTGACGTGCTTCACCCCCTAGGTAATTTTTCGCCGCAACACGCAATCGTCCACATTCCCTCTCAGCAGGTTTAAGTTCCATACGACAGGATTTGTTGCCTCGTGCTTGCGCAGTGTGAAGGAAAGAGGAGATCAGCTGCACAGGCAGGCTGCAAAGTGAGATAAATGTGATCGGTTTTGGTGATCGGCAACAAGAGAGTGATTGGCGATCACCGATCATACACTTTTTCATGGAAATTGGTCGATTATGATCGGTGGCCGATTGATCAGCACACCTCTAGTTAAAACAAACCGATTCAGGTTTGAGCAGTTTGCTTTTCCTTCTTCCTATTTTCTTGCTGTTTTTCCAGGATTTCCCTTATTTCCCTATTTAATATTTCAGATTTTGTCTTATTATTTAAACTTTAATGTATCTTTTGGAGTTTTATGTGTTTAACAAAAAACAAAACTAGCCAGTCTCTTGTTCTGCCGTTGCTTTGTGCTTCACATTTCCGCTCGATTCCAATCTCCCTTCACTGCGCCATCTGGGTTTTCTCCCATTCATTTGAATTCCATCTGCTAAAATTTCTACCAAGTCAATCAGCAAACAGAAGAAGCTGGTGTCGATTTTCTGATCTACTTGGAAATGTGTTGGTCACGCTTCAAAATATTGAATTCTAGGTGAAAGGAGGGATTAATAATATTTCCTAGAGGCTTGAACTCTGTTGAAACTTGAAATTGTACCCAATTGCTAAGGTTCAGCTATGACGTGTGTAGACAACCGTCCTTTATTGTGAAGAAAGAAGTGTTGAGCCAAACGAGGCGACTTTTCATGTTAATTCAATGACCAACACAGACGGAACGGCTTCGTTCCTCTGCTGCCATTGGTAAAACTAGTCAGAAAATCAACTTCATTGTTCATGATTTCTCCTTCTTTTCGGTAGAAATTTTACAAAAGGGAATGCAAGTGAATGGCAGATAACCAAGATGGAGCACTGAAGGGAGATGAAAATTGAGTGGAGGAAGGCAATAGCCAGGCTGACACAAAGCAGTACAACGTGAAGTTTTAAAGTTTTTAAAAGATAAATAATGGAATAAATAAGTATTTTTGTATTCAACCTCATTTACTCTGACTCCATTTAATAAAATTTTATCTGCCTTAGAAGCCACCTAATTAATAAAAAAAAAAGTTCAGCTGTATATATCTGAACTTATTCTTAACATGTAACATGGTAGTGGCAGTATCATGCTTGTTTTCCGTCGGCAAGGACATGGAAGCTAGTGAAGATTTAATGAAATCTTCCTGGAAGTCCACGGCGCTGATCTCTTCGTTCCGCCACACCGCATAAATCACTCCAGGTTTTTACATATTCAAACTGTCAGAAACCTCAAATGCATATAAATGATTTTATAAATTATTCTGCTTTTGTATTTATAATCTTTACGCTCGCAATTCTAGAGTTTAGATGATGACAGAACTGCAAACTGGCCCTTTGAGACGGGCTTATTAAGGAGGAAAAATTGAACAGAAAAAAAATCTGTGCAGAGGAGAAAAATAAAATAAAGCATGCTGCATAGCAACTTTTCAGCTCTTTTGTTCCAAACCATTAATAAACACAGAGCTAATGCTCCTCCATTCATCTTACTCAGAGCCTGATGTTAACTAATATCAAAGCCATTGTGGTAACTCCTCACACCTCCTTGTGCGGTGTAAAAAAGAATCCATTTTCAGATATTAAGCAAAGATTTTATTGTCTTTTTTGGCTTTGATATCAAACATGATGCAAAATAAAAGGTTTTCACTGATAGTAATGAATCACTTTATATTTATTTTAAAAAATACAAGCAGTATT